TTTTCTCAACAAATATGGCAAGGTTGAGAAAAATGAAAGAAGAAAGAAGATGCTTTCCATCTTCTTGATAGTTAGGTTAAATGGGATATAATAATACATGTAAAAAAAAAAGGGACAGAATTAGGATTCGTAAGAGAAAACTGAAAATAAATGAATTAAGACAGGAGAAACTTTGATATAAACTTTATCTTGTTTATATTTTCTTTATTTCGTTATAAAATATATTAGGGTTTTAGACTTAAACTGTTATTTTTCTCCAGTCTGTGACTTAGAACCAGATTTTAGATGGAAATTTTTATGCAATGGAAATTTTTATTTGGCCATATAATCAATAGGATTAGTAGGATGTGGTGAGCAGAAAATAACTTCGCTAGAGGTAAATATGCCTGGTAACCAGCAAAGCAGCAAATGTAATTTTAAAATACAAACACTGCACAGAAATCCAACTCAAAACGAATTAAAAACTTAAGCATAAGACCTGAAACCATAAAACTCCTAGAAGAAAAAACTGAGAAAAAAGCTCCTTCACATTGACCTTGGCAGTGATTGTTTGGAGTTTTTGCAAAAGCACGGGCAACAAAAGCAAAAATAAACGCATGGAACTCCATCAAACTAAAAAGTTCCTGTATAGTAAAGGAAACAATCAACTAAACAAAAGGCAGTCTACAGAATGGGAGAAAATATTTGTAAACCATGTATCTGATAAGGGGTCAATATCCAAAGTATATAAGGAACTCTTACAAAAAAAAAAAAAAAAACCAATTTAAAAATTGGCAAAGGACCTGAATAGACATTTTTCCAAAGATGACACACAAGTGGCCAACAGATATGAAAAGATGCCAAATATCACTAATCATCAGGGAAATGCAAATCAATACCACAATGAGATATTACTTCACACCTGTTAAAATGGCTGTTATCAAAAAGTCAGGAGATAATCAGTGTCCTTGAGAATGTGGAGAAAAGGGAGCCCTTGTGCACTCTTGGTAGTGATGTAAATTGGTACAGCCATTATGGGAAACAGTATGAAGGTTCCTCAAAAAATTAAAAATAAAACTACCATATGATCCAGCAACCCCACTTCTGGGTATTTATCCAAAGGAAATGAAATCAGTATCTTGAAGAGATATCTACACTCCTATGTTCATTGTAGCCTGATTAACAATAGCCAACATGTGGAAACAAGCTAAGTGTCCATCAGTGGATGAACAGATGAAGAAAATGTGGTATATATAGACAATGGAATATTGTACAGCCCTTAAAAAGAAGAAAATCCTGCCATTTGTGACAACATTTATGAACCCAGAGGACATTATACTAAGTGAAATAAGCCACACACATAAAGAAAAATACTGTATGATCTCCCTTATATGTGGAATCTTTTAAAAAGTTGAACTCATAGTAGCAGAGAGTAGAATGGTGGTTACCAGGGACTGGGGGGTGATGGAGAAGGGGAGATATTGGTGAAAGAGTAAGAATTTTCAGTTATAAGATGAATAAGTCCTGGAGACCTGATATATAGCACAGTGACTATAGTTACTAATGGAGTATGAGTAGATCTGAAGTGTTCTCACCCCACACGCAGTAACTGTGAGATATGAGGCGATGGATATGTTGATTAGCTTGATTGTGACAGTCATTTCACAATGTATACATATGTATATCAAAACATCACGTTGTACACCTTAAAATATATACAATTTTATTTGTCAATCATACATCAGTAAAGCTGGAAAACAGTAAAAAAAAAAATAAAGAAAAATAGAAACAAAAGAAATAAAGTGGATTTCTGGAAGGAAAAACAAAAACACAAACAGCAGTCAACATAGTGGCAGCTGACAAAGTAGAAGGCAGTTGTTGTTAGCTAAATTTTCATCCCCACACTGCCCAACCACCTCTTTTCCAAATGCTCATGCTCAGACATCTCCAGAGGTGTGGGATCATTTTCCCTAGATAGTTGTCAGTGGATTCATCCCATCTTCTTCCATACAAGACAAAAGAAAAGAAAAAAGATATTTTAGGAATAGACACCAGCCACATTTTTTCACTGCCTTTCTTCTTTTAGCTCTGTCACCAGTATCACTAATCAGTACCCTGCAATCAAGTTTCAAGAAATAAAATGTTCTGATTATAGTGGCAGCTGCTTTTGGTCCAGTACACTTTCTCAACCAGTGGTTTATAATCTCCATTGACATTAACAGTCTCTATAGACCAGGGGTCAGCAAACTTTTTCTGTAAGAGCCAGACAGTATTAGGCTTGGGGGCTATACAGTCTCTGTTCCATCTACTCAACTCTGCCATTGTTGACAAACAGCCACAGACAATATATAAACGAATGAGTGGGCTATGGTTCAATAAAACTTTATTTACAGAAATAAACAGTAGGCTGGAGTTAGCCTGTGGTCCGTAGTTTCCCAAACCCTGCTCTAGACCATAGGAGGAAATGGTCGAAATCAGTGAAAAATTATTCCATTTCTAAATGGAGAAGTGTTTCCAATTAGGTAAGATATGTTGTCCATGTGTTCTTTGACTTTTCATGTTTTATAATGTTTGCATTCATAGTTTATGGTTTTTACATTTTTTACCTAAAACTGTGACAAGCTTTCATTCCAATTTGAATAGAAATTTTTGAAAATAAATTGAATCTATATTCAACAGTCTAATAATAAAAATTAGTGACAATCAGTTTACCGAAGTATGACTGTTTTTTTCACTCCTCTTTGTAATTTAGGCCCTGGAGAGTCACTGCAGAGTAAATGGAGGCTATTCAGGCCTACGGGATGTTTACCTCCTTCGTGAGAGTTATGATGATGTACAGCAGAGTTTCTTCCTGGCAGAGACACTAAAGTAAGTGGAAATTATCCTGAAACTATGTGACTGAGCTATCCAGACAGATCTTCTTTGTAGATGTCTTTATCATGAACACATTCCAATAATATTAAGTATGACTGATTCAAAATGCCATTCTACATACATGGCAGTAATTACAGGTGTATTTTCAGTAATTACTAATTTGATGACTAGGGACAGCTTTATTTGGTTCTCATACACTAACACCAAAGCACAGAATAGCTTCTTTACCCCATAAGTAAACCCTGAGGGGATGTACTCAGGGTTTTGATATACTTGATTGTTGTCCACGGTTCTCCATAAGATGAATGGGGACATTAATGTGGTTTTTGCTGTGTCTTTACTGTCTGACATAGTCTCATATTTCTCTCACCAGATATTTGTACTTAATATTTTCTGATGACGATCTTCTTCCACTGGAACACTGGATCTTCAACACTGAGGCACATCTTCTCCCTGTACTCCGTAAGGATAAAAAGGAAGTTGAAGTCAAAGAGAAATAAAAAGACATTTTATATTTTACTCTGCTCCATTCCCTTCACTGCATACCTTAATAATTCCTTTCCTGGTTATCAGGCACATGATCAACTTTCATTAATAGGTCTGTGATTATTATAAGTTCTTAAATTGTTTTGCAGTCTTTTGTTTATTATCATAGGCATAGATGGACCTAAATTCCTTATTGTATCCTTTATTATTCAGCCAGTGAATCCACCGTTTTTTGGTTTTTTGTTCGTTTGGTTTTTTTTTTTTTTTTTTGGTTTGTTTTTAAATAATCTGTTATCTATGGAGTTGGTGAAGGTGTAATATCATTAAACTGAATAGAATGGTATAGTAATGACCTCTTAATTACAATTTGATTTGACTGCAAAACTTTTTCCTCCTCTATGAGGAGATGATGTCTGCTTTAAGCTGTAATGTTTTGCCATGTTGCAAAAAGCCATAATAATAAATTAAGTATTAAAAAAGCTTTTCCTTTTCAATTTCATGTTAATCTGGTTTGTCTATCCACAAGAGACAGATCTTATAACTGTGACAGCCTCTTTATGCGGGTCTATCATTATTTGATAGAATGTCTTCTAAAATACTTCACTCACATTGTAATTCAAATTAGAAAGTCATTCCAAAAGGATCATCTCATGAAGATCTCGTTTCATCGAAACTGCAATATATTTTTGTTGGTTAATTATATTAGTGTTTCCTAATTTGTGAATTTGTTAATTTTACTATAAATGCCCTGTGTCATTTCTGGATCATGCATGGTTAATTTCTTGCATTCTGTACTACACAGCGAGGTGAGCTCTCAAGTTTTACAGAACTCTGTCACTCAAGTACATTTTTTAAAAGAGAAATAGAATAGCTTTTAATGTATTAGCTTTTGCTTTTAACTGAATATATGAAGAAATTGGGTCTCTCCAAGAAGAGGGTATTTCATATGGCTTTTAGTTCATTTGTTTTTATTTCACCTGTATTTTTTTTCTTGAGAAAAGAAAGCATTCCATTCAGTTCTGATTTTTCAGATTTGAAAAAGGCCCTTTCTCAAATGTGGTAAATTATTTCATTTCCATTTATGAAAGCAGGATTTGACTGTGTGAAAAAAGCTTTACCAGTTCATTTATTCATGGTCAATTAAAGAAAATCTAATACACTTTTAGGCCATATAAGAATACAGTATATTTATGGTTAAATTCAACGTAGAGATCCCAACTTAGAAGCAACATATAGAAATGGTATCTCCCAACCCCCACAATTCCACAGTAGATCAAAATAATTATATGATTCTACTAAACATTAAATTTTGAAGTATGAATGGTTTTCCCAAGAGTAGATTTAGTGACACCTTATGTTTTATCATATTGGTTCATAAAATATATATATTTTTTTTTTTACATGAAAGGGCTAATATGATGCATATTCTGAAGTTCAAAGACTTTGACCACCATCTAAATTTTCAATCTAGAATGATCAGACAGATCAGTGCAACCCCATGGATTAAGCTGAAGCGTATAACATTGCTGCATTTGTAGTTTAAAAACTGTCCAATGTCAGCAGTTTCATATGGTTCAACCTAATATTTTTAAGACAATTATTTTTTTAGATCTCAGTAGACTTAATAGTTTCAGCTATTTCAGCTTTTGAAAATGTTTCAAAAGATTTCCTTTGACAAGGCCACATGTATGATCTGCCTTTTTTTTTCAATATTGTACATTGGTATATGTCAAAGAATAAATTAGTAAAATTAGTGAATGAAAAAGATTCTTCAGTATGTCATTATTGCCATGTAAATAAGTCTCTGTGATCCAGAATTACTTCACCCTCTCATATCTTTAGCTCACCTAATGAATGAATAGATAATAAGAGCCCTTTGTTTCCAGGACTTTAGGGCAAAATATAAAAAATGATTGCCAAAATTGGGCCATATGTATTTAGATTATAATTTTTATGTGAATGTCCTTGGACCAGCAATTTTAATTATTCATTTTCTTGCTTTTCTATTTTATTTTAAAGAGCACAAAGCTGACGAGTATTTCTGCAGCAGGTAGTGTATCAACATCAGGTTGTGTATACACACGGCACTATAATGTACCTTTTGTATCCTGGCATACGTAGACAAGAAGCTGTACTACATGTTGCTCTCTCAATGGCAAGAATAAAGTTTTTGCAATTCTAGAACTTGGATTTTTAAACAAAAGTCCCAAAATACCAAAAAATTAAACAGATAAGAGATTAATATTATGATGATATAATTGAATTAAAGTTATATTTTGTGTTAATTGTTTTAACAACAGAAATCTTTAAGTAGAAACTTTTTCATTTCCAACAAAACCATGAAGTTAAATTTATATATGTATTCACATCCTGAAAGATGAACAATAGCACTTAATTTTGTGTTTATGCAATGTTTTTGATATACTTTGTGCAATTATTAATAATATTACACATGTATCGCAAATTACAGAACTCAATGACTTTCATGTGTACTACCCATTTTTTATGCTGATTGTTTTTGATTTGTACATAAATCCATTCTGTCATTTCCAACTTTATATAAATCTCTAATGTAATGGGAAACATAATAGATTGACACATAATTTTTAAAAATTATATTTGTAAAATTTCTCTTGTGAATAAAGTGTTTTACTATATCTCTTCATTTGTTACATTTTTCTCCTTTTAAGTAAGCTTCTTATATCTAGGGGTAAGTGCGTACAGTAGGAATGGAAATATTAGATCCTAGTAGCAATTCCATAGTACACCTAGAAAATCTTAACAAGGAAGCATTTCCCACTGAGAAACTTTATATCAGAAATGATTTTGCATATATACAGTTGGTTAATCAAGTATCTTTGTTAAAGGTCTAATACATTCAACACTAGGACATGAAGGATAGAGGTGTTAGTGTCAGAAATAGCATGAAGTATGATCCCCGTAAGTTTGCAGTCCAATTAAGGTCCAATAACCCCACCCCTCAAAACAAGACAAAAACATCATGTTAGGTCAGGCGCGGTGGCTCCCATCTGTAATCCTAGCACCCTGGGAGGCTGAGGCGGGAGGATCACTTAAGGTAAGGAGTTCGAGACCAGCCTGAGCAAGAGTGAAACCCCATCTCTACAAAATAGAAAAAAATTAGGCGGGCATGGTGGCATGTGCCGATAGTCCCAGCTACTCAGGAGGCTGAGGCAGGAGGACCGTTTGAGCCTAGGAGTCTGAGGTTGCAGTGAGCTATGATGACACCACTACACTCTACCTGGGACAACAGATCGAGACTGTCTCAAACAAACAAAAAGTGTGTTAAACTATAAGTTAAATTCTGCTGTAGAAGTTCAGGGGAGCAGGAGGTCCATAGGATTTGAGTGGTCAAATAGGCTTAATGAAAAGAGAATTTATGCTACAGTAGAGCCTCCAAATTTTTTGGAAAAGCCTAGGTTTTTCAAATTCATCTTGTACCTTTTTGAACATTGCAAATATTTTGGTCACTGTTGCCTCTGCTTGGAACTCTCTTTCCCCAGTATTCGTGTAGCTCATTCCTTACTTCATTCAGTCTCTGCTCAATTGTCACCTCAGGACGGCTTCCTTGACAAATCAGTATAAAATTCCCCATCATCTTTGGCCCCTACCCTATTTTATTTTCTACTTAGCATTTGTTATATTACATATTTACTTCCTTTATTTGTTTATTGCCTTTCTAACCCCTTAGTAGTGAACCCCACGAGAACAGAAACTATTTGACGTTCCCCGTCCCCCATTTCTCCATCTCTAGTGCCTATAGCAGTATCGAGCACTTGATGTAGTAAACAATGAATGTTTGCTGAACAAGTGCCTGAGTAAATGAGACTCCATCTTACATTCATAGCCTTTGCTACAACTATTGGCAAATGTCCTTTAATAAGTAGTAAATTTTTAAAAATATTAAACAACGTGTTTGTGACTAGAATCAACTCTTATCAACAAATTATTTTTAAACTGCTTATATCATTAAGGTACCACGTGTGGCCCTATATAAAATACAAAAGAAAAGGAAGGCATGGTTCCTTCAATATAGAATTTTTTCAGTGTTGAATAGCCTACTATTGTTCCATATGACTTAATCTCACAGTCCCTGCTTCATATTAAAAAAAACAAAAACGATTAAAACAGCATCAAGCAGAGGAATTAGTTTTTCACCTTAGTTAAATGAGAACATTCTGAATTCAATTATTGGTATCAGTGGTGTTTACCCTGTTGGTGACAGAATTATTAAAATTTATCCTAAGTGTGATTTTTATTTATACTAATCATCAGCCATCCACACAGAGATGGCAGCTTGGCAACCAGTACATCTAATTTCTGATTACGATATGCAGACTGTTGCTTGAAATTTTAGAAAACAGATAAAATCTTTTTCATTTAGGTGTAGAGTTCATATATCTAATTGTCATTCCAGCTCCCTAGCTTGTAGATGAAATGGTGAGGGTGGGGAGGAAAATCTTATCAAACTTTTTAACTGATTTAATGGTTCAAAGGCCATTTTCCAGTCTCATTCCATCCACACTAGCCAATACATGAGTCATAGTTCTCAAGAAATATTTGCCAGGCATCAGATATGCATTTAAAATATTGAAACTACATGGGAGTCTAGACAGCATTTAGTTCAACTCTCTTATTTTAAATATGAGAAAATGGGAGGGTTTTCCCAGGGTCAGGAACTGTTCTGTCCTTGCTTTGTGCTGCCAGATACAGAGATACGGTAAGATTTTATGCAAATAAAAAAGAACGATGTATGAAAGCATATGTTATTTCTAACCAGCCACTCCAAAATAAAGGTCTAAATTCGAAATTCACCCTTAGAAACTGTCTCCTACTGTGTTTCTATATCTAGGTGTGGGCTACAGTTCCCCTAATCAGAATCTCTTCTTGTTAAAATGCAGATTACAGAGCCTTCCCCAAAAACAAATCAAAACTGTGGTGGATCCCAGGAATATCCATGTTTAATTAGCCCTTTGTGTTATTCCTATGCATACTGAAGTTGAGAACCACAGTTTTAAGTTATAGGTAGGTGGAAGTCCCAGGAGTAGCAGAATTAATAAATTAATCAGCAAGCCATGACAAGCCATGTACCTTTTTCTGTATTTATGTTCTACCTCAAGGTTTAAGTACAACTTGACATAATTTTGATCACTCTGGAAACATAGATTCATCCTTTTACAACAGCATTTCTGAGCAATAAGCCATACACCTAAATCTTTTAGAAACAGATTCACACTGGATTTTTAAACATAATCCTTTCTTATTAGGGGAATCTCAAAAGTATTAACTTAGTCGTCCCTGTTGCAATTCAGCTGCTGTTTGATTTGCTTTCTTCTCCCAATAACTGCTTTTTAAAGCCATTCCTCAAATTGTTTCTTCTGTTCTTGTTGATTTTAACATGACTGTCACTTGCACAGACTACACAGAATTCCTAGTTTGGCAATGTGTCGTATAAATGTATAAAATATTCTTGGAAATGACCTCTGAAAAGCACCTTCATTTCCCCTGCCCAGTGTTTTAACATTCATTGCAATGCTAATCATCAAAGATTTGCTGGCTTGCCATTATTATGATCACTTTGAATCCCCTTAAAACATGCCATTACTTACTGAATAAATTAACTTGAATTTGTGTCACAGATCCATTTAATTCCCCCGTGAATGCAAATTACCATGAAACATTAGAAAACAGTGATACATGCATAGCTCTTTTAAAAACTTTTCCTCATACTGGGGTATTTTGGCCTTAGGCAATGAGCACATATTAATTCACAATTCTGTGAACAGGTCCACGAAATGTACTGCTTTTCAAATAGCACTGTTTTGTTTTGTTGTTTAACTTTCCTAGGAGAAACAAGTGAAGGATCCTCATTCGCAGAATCTTTGGGAACTTTGTTCCTGACTTCCTGACTCTTTTGGAAATCTTTGTCGAAAATAGAAACTCATAACTTACAATCACCTCTTAGAACCAGGAGGGGAGACCTGGATATCAAATTCTTGAGGCAAGCACGGTGCTATTGGTTC